GGAGACCTGTGTGTACAGCAAAGAGCAGAATCAATAGAGAAATTAAGCCTGTTTCAGCCAAATAGTTCTAAGAACTCCATGGGTTACTAGAATAGAGAAATGACTACTGTACAAAGTATATTCACACAACCGGCCTCCAGTCAGAATGACATTTTTTCACCAGAAAATGATATATATATATATAGCAACCAACCATGAGCCCATACTCTCATAGTTTCCACAACAGCTATGACAATAAGAATGTATTCCAATTTAACTGTGTACTCTTGTTCAGCTCTCTGGAGAGCATCAGGTCTATAGATATCTCTTTATTTTCTATCCCTATATAGAAATTCTCTAGACTTCAGTAGGGCCTCTACATCTTCCAATATGAATCAAGGCCCTTAAAGGTAACAGCTGTAGATCTAGGGATTTCGCTCAGTGGTTCGGCTGCCTGCTTCGCAAGCATGAGGACCTGAGTTTGATCCCGGGTTCAAAAAGAAAAAGAAGATAACAGCTGTGATGATTGGGACTTTTTTCCACTAAATATCAGATGATTATTTTAAAGTAATTTATGTGCAAAAACTAGGGTCGCAGATTTCAGGCTTATTGGTTCATTTACTTGAAAAATCAAGGATGGATCTGGCTGGCTAGAATGGCACGCTCCGGGGATTCCAAGGATGACACAGCAAGATAGACACTGGACTTAGCAAGCAATGGAAAGACAGTCAAACTTGGGAGCAGGAGCCCATACTAAAACCAGTCTCTGCAGCCAGAGAGGTGGTCATCTGTCTACGTCTACCCTCATGGCTTGTGGGAGATGCAGGAGTCAGTGCACTTATGAAATGAGTGTCCCTGAGTAAAACGGATCCTAGTTAAAGCGGCAAGGGACATTGGGTAGATAAACTACCCACCCGGTGCTGTTAGTTTTAGTATCACTTCTCCCTGTAGCAATCACCAGCACTATCCATGACATTTACCACAGAACTCTGAACAGGGCAACCTTCGGACAACCACTATTGTCCCACAGCAGGAAGTTAAGTTCGGGGACCAAAGCAACCTGCCCATGACACCAGAACTAGGATGGCATGGCAGGCCTGAGCTCCAGCCACCTGGCTCAATGCAGGTGGCACTGGCCCCTGACAAAGAATCAGATCCAGGCCAAAGGTAAGATGAGGGTCAGAGCCATTAGATTGTTACAGAATTCACTTCTAACCAGCTCATCAGAACAGCCTATCTGCTTCTGGTTTCTCTCCTAGATCCTTCACAGCTTTACCCCTCTCCCTAAATACGTGGGAGGGAGAGGAAAACATGAAAAAGGGAGAACTTGCTCTATATTCCTACTTACCATGAGACAAATCTGCAGTTCTGTCCATATTCGTTCCCCTTACATGAATTTCCCTAGAGAGGCTGTACCCAGAGGGGCCCAGAAAGCTTGGTGTCTAAGGCCACACTAGCTGGACAAGCTCTGGCCCCTCCAGGTCTACCCTCCTTGCAGGGGCCTGCCCAGCTGCCACCACCACAGGGGTCCACCAGCTGTAGACCCAGGTGGGCAGGGAGGTACTGAGCGTCCAGCAGGATTAGGTACAGTGGAGCCCATCCAACCCAGCAGAGGCAAACCCCAATTCAAAGCCACCTGTGGGGCAGTGAGGGGTGGAAAGCTGAGCTGTGGCTGTATCCCACCTTGGTTCACCACCTGGATCACCTCCAGCAAGTAGCCTGAACTTTTTGTGTCTCAGTGTACTCACCTGATCAAAGCAAATGACAGTGGCCCTGGACTGCGTGCAGCTATGGTGTGAACTAAGTGAAAATGGAACCACACAAAGCAGTAAGCAAACAGTCAGACCTTGATATTCATGGTTATTACTGCTACTATTATTGTTGCTGTTTTGCCATTTACTGCTAGGTAATCCTTCCCCCCTAGACTCAAGCCTACCTTACCATTCCCAAGGTGATCACAAGATTCAAGGATGTGGCAGGTAAAAGAAGGCTCCTCTCTCTCCAAAAGATATCAGTTTCCTTGTCCCTGGAACCTGTAAGTGCTCAGGATCCCATTATAAAATACCACAGGCACAAACAGAATTTAATTTCTCCCTGTTCTGGAAACTAGAAGGCCAAGATCAATGGACCACCTGGTTGGGTTCTAGAAAGGCGCCTCTTCCTGACTTGGAAATAACTCCCTTCTCACTGTCCTTTTCTCTGTGCAGGACAAGAGACCACTCTGGTGTCTTATTCTTTTGTTTTGTTTTGTACCAGGGATCGAACTTGAGACCTTGCACTTGCGAGGCAGGCAGCAGCACCACTTGATGTCTTATTCTTATAAAGACACCAGCCCTATAGGCTGATAGCTCCACCTTAACGACTTCAGTTAGCTTTAACTGCCACCTCAGCGGCCCTGTCTTCAAATAAAGTTATGTGAGGAGTAAGGATTTCAGAACTGGGGAGGGGGATAATTCAGTCCATACCAATACTTTAATAAAATATCACATTATGCTTATTGCCTCTAGGTCACAAAATTGTTGCTGTATTTCCAGATATCCCAAACCACATACCAGCCTCCCTATAGGAAGGAAGAGGAAGATGCAACACAAATAAACCATAGCCTTATTGATTTCCCAGAAGCTCTTCATAAGTTTTCCCTTCACCTCTCATTTCATTTGCCAACTTCACTGTGAGGAAGGCTAGGAAAGCAAGACTTCACTTTTTTTAGTCCCTCAAGTAGAAAGCATATAAGAACTAAGAAGCTGGGAATCATGTCTGCCACACAGGCTCATAACAAATATTTGCTGAGCACTCAACTGTGTGGTTCTTCTCCAAACACGCTGTACATTACCTAGCCTAGCCTGTTCCTCTCAGTAATCCTATGAGGCAGGTACTATTAACTCCAATTTTCAAACTGGAGAGTCAAGGCCCAAAGAGGTTGAGCTACTTGCCTAATACAGGTAGTAAAGGGTAATATTGTACAAAAAAATTTGAACTCAGGCCAACTCAAGAACTCATGGCCTTAATTACTACTCTATACCACCTGATGGCCTTGATATTGTAGACACTGGTGTTCGTGTGCTTATCTTCATCACAGGAAGGTCTCCTACCAGCTACACAGCCCTGGTCGCTGAGCAGTGGCAGCTCCAAGAAGGTGAAAGGACAGCCAGCATCCCTGGTTTCCTAGATCTTGGAAGGTCTTTGTGCCCTACCCAGCACTAGGCATGGAGAGAAGAAAGTTTGTGCTACTGAAGTCCATCCTTCCTGCCTTCCCTCTCTATTATGACCCACCTAGGGACAGGGCCACCAACCACTTCCATCTCTCAGGACCAGGAGACATTCTTCAAAGGGCAGGCTGCCAGCCCAGGGAAGACTGTCTTGCCCTTGCTGGACACTGACAGGCAACTACCAGGTCAGACCCATTCAGAGATGTCAGACATTTGTGTTATGCTTAGAGTTAACTTGTGGTTAACTAACCATTAAAATCACACCATTGTTTTTATTGTCTTGCTGTGGCCCATATGCATTTATAGGGCTAAGAGCTTTTGAATGTGGAAATAGCCAGACCTCTCTCAGCCTCAGAGAGGCGCCACCTGATGCCCACATCTGAAGGAATTCCTGAGCTACGTTCCTTCCTTCTCTGAACATGTGAGAGGTTTCCATCCTGACCAGGGAGCTTTAAAAAATACAACCAGTAAATCATGTCCATGTCCTTCCTGGGACAGGGAATAAGAAGGGTTCTGGACCTTCGTATTCATCCAAACCATAAACACAGTTTAATCGCAAGGAAACATCAGACGGAGCCAGATGAGAGATGCTCTGCAACATCACTGAGCAGACCTCTCCCCCAGTGTCAAGGTTATGAGACACGGCGGCAGTGGCGTATGAGATGCTGTCACGGCCAGAGGGGTCTTAGAGGATGTGACAACTGAGTGCAAGGTGGTGTCCTGGTGGGACCTTGGGACACAGAAAGGACATCCGATCAGTTGTTCAACCAATGTGAACAAGATCTGTAGCTCAGTTAAGTTACTCGGACTGTACGAATGTGAGTTTCTTCTCATTAATTAAGGGCCCTGGCTAAGGTAGGTGGCAGGTTTGCAGGAACCCTCTGTACTATCTTTGCAACTCTGCCGTAAAACCTAAAATTATGTCAGAATAAAATATTTAAAACAAAAATAATTTTTAAAAGTGCTTGGCCTCCATTCAAACCAATTAAATCACAATCTCAGACATCTGAAGCTCTCCAGGTGTAGACAGGGTTGAGAACCATGTGTGGGCATCAGAAACCCCTGGAAGAATTATGGAAACAGACTCCTAGGCCCCACCCTGTCTCCACTGCAGTGAGTGAGATCAAAGCCTAAGAATTAGCACTTCTAACCAGCTCCCATACAATGCCTGGCTGCAAGGCCCAGGACCACTGACCTAGATCCTTGCAACTCAAAGCATGGTCCTTGGTTCAGCAGCATTAGCATCAACTGGAATCTGATTAGAAATACAAACTTCAGTCCCCCACCCCAACCCGGTTCACAGAGGTGGGGTCCAGGCTTTCAGGAGGCCATAGGTGACTGGTTCACACAGGAGAAAGTCTGAGAGGTCTCGCTGCAGCTCAAACGTGCAAGGAAAGGGGATGAGTACACAGATGCTGAAATGGCAAGTCCGGGAGGCTGAATTTCCACCATTTGATCAGCCTTAATATTCTGTCCTTTCCTCTTACACACAAAAGGAAAAAAAAAAAAAAAGGAAGAAAGATCAGAGGAACTGTGCAACAGTGCAGCCAAAGGCAGAGAAGGGAGAAAGAGGCTCCATGCCCCAGCAGTGCTGGCCAGGGCCACAGTGACCTGGGCTGATGCAGCCTTTACAGGAGCAGGTAGACCAGGCCAGGAGGCACTGACTATATCGCAGCTGCAGCCCAGGGTGTCACACTCACTGTTCCAAGAAACAATCCCGCACCTTCCTTTAGAAGCAAGCTACACCAGGCTTTGCTTCTCAGGAAGGAAGGAATAGGGAGAGAGAGAAGGAAGCAACAAGGGAAAAATGGGGGAAGGATGGGAAATGGGAGGAGGAAAAGAAAAAAGGGATGCTGGAGTGGGAGGCTTTGGACCGAATAGGTCTTTACCAAGCTTGGCTTCTACCAAGACTTTTGCAGAATTAAAGCTTGCAGCATGGGGCTTTCCCACAGCTCCACTTGACCGGGAGTACAGTGACTCCGAGTAATGGCACCAGGCCACCAGCTATACAAGGCCTCTGTTCAACATAAGCCCTCTCCCCCAACCCAGCAAGCAACATGGCTCTGCCAGTGCTGCTCTGCTTTTGTTACTCCCATCAGTGAAGACCCTGTGGGTCATCAGCTCCCCACTTACAACCCCAGCTCCTGCTCGTGCTACCCCTTTCGTCATGACCACCCGGCCCAGACATCACTCTCTTCACATCTGCCCACACAAGGGTTATTCCAAACCCATCAGTTCTGCCCCCCAGGGTCTGCGTGGGTGCCTCTTAGAGCCACTTTTGTTGTTAGCTACATTTTGCAAGCTCTGCGGCAGTGGCAGGAAGGCCCCAGGCAGCCTGCAGAGCTGTGATAGCCCATTTCTGATCCCGCAGTGACCAAGCAATACTCCTAAAATTAACCAGCAAAGCATCACCTACTGCAGGACGAAAGCATGTGTAGCTTCTCAAATGCACAGATTATATCATCCGGGAAAATCTCAAAGTATGCCAGGACTCTTGATGTTTGTGCATTTATTGAGCATCTTCTGTAAGCCAGGAAAAGTCAGTGCTGGACATCTAGGTGCAGGGCCCATATTTGAGAGGTTGCACAACTCAAGCACATAAGGTAGCCCTAGGATCAAGTATAACCCTTATCTTGGCACTGTGGAATCAAAAACAAAGCAGGGAATACCACTCAGTAGCTGTGTGACCACAGGCAAACTACTAAACCTCTCTGAGCCTAGGTTCCCACATCTATAAGATGAGACTAATGACCCCTCCCTCAGAGAGCTGATGAGACAGCTTTGTGAAAGGCATTCAGTAAAAATCAACCTACTCCCTTCCTACTTTCAAGCTGTCCTGTACTTCCAACTCTCCTTGCCTCTCTGCTCTACCTGGATAAATGTTCTGGGTGCTGGGCTCACTGGCAACACGCTGATGTTTTAGATCCCAGTGCAAAGGAAGCCAAGCATCACACCAAAAGTGAACAGAAAAGACATTCACATTTACTTCAGCAGCTGTAAAAGACACCATAAAATATAATATGCACCATGCATCCTCATGATTAATAACAGATCTTGCAAATTGTTCTTGCAGGTCTCTGGGCACATCTAACTGGTCACTAAGAACAAGTAACTCTTGCAGGAAACAAAAGAATGGCAAATCATTTCTGACCACTAGAAAATCTAGTTGTTGTATTATGAATAAAGAGAACAGAAAATGAGGCTCAGATTCAGGGTTTTCTGCCCCTGTGGATGGGGTGGAACAAGATCAGAGAGATTCAAATACGATTACCATTTGGGAGCATGGGTGTTCGGAGAGCTAGGACCCGCCCAAAATGGGGTCTCAGGGACCTGGAGACCACATGGATATAGGAGTTAGAGCAGGAATTTGGGGGTGTCCCAGAAGCAGGAACAGAGAACATGGATGGGGGAGCAGGGGCCTGCAATGCAATAGATGAAAACAATTCGAACAGGCACAACCCTGCTGCAGTGACCAGCAAGAGGAATACGGCCTCCAGGAGGACTGAGAAGACCCAGTGGAATCCCAGAATGGAACTGGAGCCATCAACTAAGAACCAGAAGGGTAAGTCAAGAAATGATGAGGAGAAAAATGCAGGTATCTAGTTCACAGGAAATGAGGTTGGAAGGGGAAAAAACAAAGTCAGCCTCTAAGCTCCCAGCCCTGGGCTTCTTCCAGTCAAGTTTCCAGAGAAGGGAAGCTAAGTCTCCAAGAAGCGGTCCTGCAGTGGAAGAATTCCTGCTGCTTGGAAGGATTACAAGGGCAAGGAGCCAAGGAGCAGATCCTCTTGGTAACCAGTGCTCAGATCCACTACTGGCTGGTATGGATTTGCTTCCAACCTTGAATAGAAATCCCACCACCCAAGCTCTGGCCTTATTCCCCTTGGATTCCCTGGGAAATCCCACAGAAATAGCAATCAAGAGGTGCTGTGCACCCTTGGCAAGGGCCACGGTAGGTATGTGGCTGGGGTGAGTCAGGAGTCAAGCGAGTCAGGATGGACAGACCCTTAAAGTTGAAGAAGATTTATTGAAATACAATACAAATAATACCAAAGAGATCACCATGACAGCAGTGAGCACACAGCTGCTCAGAATCTGCCCTCAGATGGTGAACTGCCTCACTCAGGGGTGAGATGTGGGAAGGGACATGACAAGGAGAGCGTGTCTTATAGCAGCTTCAGAGACAATGCTCACCTCCAACAAAATCAAACTTCCTGCTACTTAAATGTGCCCTCAGTAGCATACATGGCCTATACTGACAACAGAAGTGGTTAATGGAAATGGGAGTGACATCAGCTGCTGAAACTTCTCCCTGAAGGAGAAAAGCCTATTCTATGGCACAGCGTGTAGACCCTGAGACAAGGGCTGCAGCATGAGAAGTAGTTCCAAAGGTGGAGCATGCTGGTGCATGGACAACGACCCCGAGACTGCAGATCATCAAAGGACAGAAATGAGGGCACAGGGTAGAGACATGGAATGAAGGACATACGAAAAAACACCAGAAAAGGGTAGGGCATAGCCAACCACTCAGTGTGGGGCAGGAAAGAGCCAGCAAAGCAGGGTTGAGACCCAGCTGGTCAGCCTCAGCCCCTTCACACGCAGAATGAGTTCATAAATGGTGATCTGCCACAAACTAAAGGCTTCGCTGAAAGAGATCTGGGTCCTTCTGAAGAATGAACCAGTCGTCTTCTTCTTGTGCCTGGAGGAGGGCAAGAAAGGAGAGAAGAAAAGAGAAAGAGGTAAGAAACACTAGCTTGATAATAAAAAATGGTGGCTTTGGCTTTAGCTCCTTGCTCTTGGGAACCATTCTTGGTTATATGATCAATCCAGGTCTAGAGGAACTCAGATATTCCAAAGGAGTTATTCCAGTAAGTTGGGTAAGCAAAAGCAGTTGTTTCCCAGGGCATCACCCAATGGGTAGAACATGCCAATGATTCTTTCTCCAAAAGTATAACAAATACATGCTAATCCAGAATCCCCAAACTCAAAAACAATCAAACTTTCTGAGCATAAGAATCATTTAGAAACCCAGTCAGGTAGTCCTAGGAGGCTAGGACCATTACAGATTAGCCCAGCACAACTCCTTCTGGCCAAAAACAAGACACAATGAAAACTAGTGTTTATGATGATGACCTATTCAACATTATACCTCCTAAACTCTCAGAGGAAGAATAAATCATGGACAGCCCTTTTACTATGCAGTATATTTTGCTGTATTCTAATTTGCTACTTGATGTGGGTACGTGATATATGTAGTCAAATCTTTCAGTTTCCCAGGATGACCCGTTCCCTGCCAGGATGGATGGGCTGGGGCCAGACCACAAGCCCCTCTGCAGTGGGAACATTCGAGCAGAGCAAGGCCCTTCAGATGTATTCACCACACTACTTGAAAGCCTAGAACCTTTAGTCTCTGGAGCTATCTCCCTGAGTAAGCACCCTTCTCCTCCTCATCAATGCTCCGAGGGCACCTTGGCAATTAGAATGGTATGGGATTCCCAGAAAACCTACTAACCACAATTTTCCAAGTCACAATCAAGAAAAAGAGCACTGGCCTAGCTACCCGGCCAGTGCCAGGGCCAATTAGAGATGAGGTGGCACCAGAGCCTCCTGGCACCAAGCCCAGGGGATGCCTGGATGGGGGTGAGACTCTTAGAAAACATTTTAAACTATGGTAGGAATTGCCTGGAAGACTGAATAGGGTCCTAGGATCCACCACTCAAGTACAAGTGATTCTCTGGGCCACTCAAAGGCACTGCCCCAAGGCATCTGCCAGTTTGCTGGAGCTAATTGTCCCCGTCTTTCTCCTCAGGGTGATGTGAGACTGGGATAGGCAGGCAGAGCCCAGTGGACTGGTGGGGAAAAGCAAAGGCAGGCAGCAACCACAGGGAAGGCCAGGGAGGGGAGGGGATGAGGGCAGAGGCAGGAGTGCACACTCACTCAGCCAGTGCTCTGATGCAGCACCGTGACATGTTGAGGAAAGAGCTGGCACTGGCACGGGTGCCCAGGCTGGCCTCGATGCTACGCAACAGGTCGTTGGTCTTGAGGATGAGCAGCATTTGGCGCGGTATATGGTTGAGGAGCTGGCTGATCTGGGGCAGGTAGTTGGCCGCATTGTTGCGGATCTCTGAATCCTGAGGCAGCGACAGGGAGACAGAAGCAAATGGTTGGTGTAGAAAGTAGGGACCAGAGTGGCAAAGGACTGGGCAGCCTACAACCAGGGGGTTACAAGAAAGCTCCCAGCGGGAGCTCCTAGCACAGCTCTCCTGGTACCATGAGGAGCCTCACCAAGGGGAGTCTAGCACCAGGAACTTTTTTGGCCTGAAAACATGGACAGGAGGTCTCAGCTCAGCCCTTGGACAAGCACTTGTTGCAACACAGCAGCACATCCAGAAGGGCCAGGTGACTCTCCAAGGGTTCTGCACTGGCCACCTATTTTAGGAGTTTTGCAAGCGGAGTCATGTCCCTCATCAATGAGCCCAGGCTGTCCATACATCTGAACTCCTGACTCCAACACAGCTCCCAAATCCCACTGCACACCCTGCTCCCCACTAGATCCACCTGCTGCCCACATGCCACACGTTGACCACTATCCCTACACTGGAACCAGTCTCATCCTGCCACTACATAAGGTCCTGATGCCTCCACAGGAGGATGAAGGGCTGGCCCTTGATGCTGGAGAGGTGCCTGACTTCCTTCCCTTCCCTGTCCCTGAGCTCTGCGTGGGTCCAGGCAGACAATCACCCAGCCAGAATTCTGGGCCTACCTGTGTGGGTCTGACCCTTTTATAGTCTCCAGAAAAATGATAATGATAGTGGTAGTGGTAGTGGTGATGGTGGTGGCCACCAACACACACTGGCAAAATACCAAGTAAGCCACGCACTCCTCATAACAAGTCTATCACATTGCATGAATTATTCCCATTTGTTATAGTATGGATCAAAAACATCCCTCAAAAGGCCCATGTGTTCAGAGGTCAGGCTTTTAGAAGGTGATTAATCCACTGATGATTTCATAAATGAATGTGACCTTAGGAGGCAGGATATGGTTGGAGGAAGAAAGTCATGGAAGAGTGCCTTTCAGGGGTGTTTCTTGTTCTAGGCCCCTTCCTCTCTGGCTTTTTTCCTGTCTCTCTGCTTTCCAGATGCCATGAGGTAAGTAGTCTTCCTCTGCCATGCCTTTCTGTCATGTTTCTGCCTTGGAGCCAACCTACCATGGACTGAAACCTCTGAAACCATGAAACAAAATAAACCCTCCTTCTCTAAGTCTGTATTTGTCAGATCCTTTGTCCCAGCAATGGATAACAAATCATTTGAGATGAGGAAACTAAGGCACTGAGAAGTCAAGTAACCTGTCTAAGGACAACAGCTCATAAGCGATGGGTGAAGATTTAAACCCAGGCAGCCCAGTTCCTGAGCCCATGCTCTCCCCATCCAGTTGTACCACCTCTCCACCTCACAGCAGGACTATGTGACCCTGAGCAAGTCCTTTCATTTTTTTTTTTTAACCTCCTAGCAGCCCAGACAGTCATAAAAGGCAAAGCACAACCAAGCACTCAGTGCCAGTTGAAGTCTTTCCAAGGGCCCAGCAGTGCTGCCAAAGGCCTTACCACCCAGCCACCTTCTGCAGCAGGAGCAGAGTCCACAGCCCTCTGAGGAGCATGAGAACACCGCTGATAACCAAGTCAGTATAAAAATTTAAATGTCCTTCAGGCAGGAGCTATCAGCCTGGAACATCTCAATACAAGCCAGACACCGAGAGGTAGTCTGCGATCACAGCTGCACGTCACCCTGCTTGAATGTGAAGGCCAGATCAAGGCCTGGTTCACTGTAGAGCTCCCACTCAGCCAGGTCAGAAATGGCCTGCTGATAACCCTCTCAGTCCAAACAGAAGGCACCCACGCCCCCCAGGGTGCCCTCACCAGTGGCTTTCAGAGCAACAAAGCTGCAAGCTTGGACATGTTCTGATGGTGGATATCTGTAATACACCCTGCTAGGTGTTGATCCAACAGTACCCCCCTTCTCCTTTGACAAAATAACTCTAGTTTTGTTCACTTGACTCCTTGGGGTCACGCTCTTCAGGGACTCAGAGCTGCTTGCTACCCTCAAGGGGAAATCTTGACTACTCTCAGCCAGTGTGGGCTCTGAGCACTCATCTTCCTACCACGTGACTAGTGTAGGCTGGGACATGTGATAAGTTTCTGGACAAAGAGATATAAGAACAAGTCTGCGGGGGGATTTCTAGGAAAGGACTTCTTGCTCTTAAGGAATGATATATGAGAGGAAATAGTTCCTGATTCCTGCCTCTGGTCATCACTGAAGGAAGATCTGAAGCTTGGAACTGCCACTGCCACCTTAAAATCACGAGAGGAAAGCCAAGAGAATCACTGGAGTGTGCCAGAGCCCCAGGACCCACCTCCCTGGAGAGAACAAAGTCCTTATTGTTCAGGCCGTGTTTACTGGGGGAGAATATCCTTCCTGATAGTGTCGATAGTCCCTTGATTCTGAATGAGAACAGGGCTCAGAAATACAGAGCCTTTCCAGCCCACTGGCTCAGGTCACCCTCCATTCTGGGTTCTCGTCCAAATGACCAGATGGAGCCAGTTTCCCCATGACCCATACAAATGCTTGTCTACTAAAATCAGTCCCAGCATGGCTGAGACCTTATTCAAAGATATGCTAGACAGGGTCCCTGCCTTCCAGATGCTCAGCATGCAGTTGGAGAAGCAAGATGTGTAGACAAACAAACACCCTGCAAGAGACTATGACATACTGTTCATGAGTGACACAAGAAGTAAGGGGTGACTTTCAGCAAAGGTGATGAAGAAAAGTCTCCTGGAGGAAATAAGACTTCTTCAGAGAATGGTGTTGTAACTGGGTCTTTATGAATGAATAAGAATGCAAAAACAAAATTTTATCTTCATTAATATAGATACCATCCACTGAGAGCCTACTCTGTGCCATATGACCTTGTCCAGCTAACCATAGACTGAACTCTCTGAAACCGTGAGCCAAAATGAAACTCTCCTTAAATTGTGCACGTCAGGTATTTTGTCCCAGTGATAGGGAAGAGAGTAATACACTAAGTATGATCTATATGCCAAAAAATTCCAAATTTATATCCTGAGCCTGGACTTCTTTGATCTTTAGTTTTAACTTTCTAGGACAGCCCCATCTGCTCAAGAGAACCACTGGCCAGCCCCAACTCAAATACGTCCTTCCTGATGTCTTCCCTGTGCTAGGGAATGACTCCATTCTCCACCCTAGAATTTGCCCCAAAAACCAACAATGCAGTTTTGACTTCTTCCTTTCCTCTCCATCCAATCCTACAAAAACTTCTCTCAATCCAAACTCCAAAATACACCTGGGTCCACTTGCTTCTCTCTGTCTTTGTTCTACCAGCATGGACTGAGCCTCAGTCACCTTGGGACCCGGAAGCCTGCGCCAGCCTCCTAACTGATTGCCTCACTCACATCTGCCCTATTCAGGGGAACACGTAAAAATAGCAGTTGTGAGCATCTCTCTTCTCTTGTTTATAGGCTACAAGGGCTTTCCTTTGTACCAAGTGTTACAACTTAAATCTCATCCCCCAAAAGTCTCATGTATTTCAGGAGATAATTGGAACATGGGGGTGCTCTACTCATCACTGGATTAATCCATTGATGAGTTTATAGATGAATGTGCTATTAGGAGGCAGCCTGGTCAAAAAAGGTGAGTTATCAGGGATGTGGGTATATTCTTATCCCTGGATCATCCTCTCTCTTCTTTCTGGCTGCCATGAGGTGAGCAGCTTTCCCCCATCATGCCCTTCTGCCATGCCATTTCTGTCCTGGAGCCAGCTAATCATAGACTGAACTCTCTGAAACTGTGAGCCAAAATGAAACTCTCCTTAAATTGTGCACGTCAGGTATTTTGTCCCAGTGATAGGGAAGAGAGTAATACACTAAGAATAAATGCGAATTTCTTTTCATGACTTATAAGGTCCCGTGTGATTCTCTCTCTGATGAGACCTCCAAATTCTTCTCATCCCACCATCTTACTCACCACATTACAGACCATACCAAACTCTCCTTCCTCTAGGCCTTACAGTGCTGGAATACCTCCTTCAAGCTCTTCCTGAGGCTGGTGCCTTTCTTGTCCTCTACATCTCAACTCAAATGTCAATTCTTCATCAAGGTCTTCTCTGAACACAATCTCAACCCCTCATGCACAATGCCCTGTTTATTTCCTACATGGTACCCATCACCTGCAATTACCTCACTTACCTGTTTGTTCACTTGTTTACTGTCTGTCTCTCTCAACCAAAGCCTAAATTAAACAAAAGCCTTGTCTGTCTGTGAATCACAAGATCCTCGGCATCAAACCCAGAGCCCAGCAAAAACAAATGTTTGTGGGATAAATGAACTTCAAGAACTGTGGGTAGGCATTTTCCCTGCATTATCAGTAAAACAGAAATAATTGTCCCTGCCATCCGTATTTTACAAAAAAAGAGACTGTCTCTCCAATTCTGAGATGATGAGCTTTAAGGGTGCAGAGAACAGTGAGTGCCACCAAGCTTACTGGAAGATGATATCAATTTGTAGGAGAGTGGAGCCAAGAGATGGCAAGAAATGAATTTTGATATCATGTGAGATTTCAGATACTCCTAAAGCCACCAGCCACAAAGGAGCTTGCAGGCCAGGACCCCAAGCCCCAAAGGGGTGAAAAGAATACCCAAGATGAAAAGATGCTGGAACTAGGGCCCAGACTTTCTGATGGCACAAGGAAGACCCTGTAATGAGCAGGGACCTCAGCTGGACCTCAATTCTGTCCACCACTGAGATACAAGCCAGGGTGACTAGACCTGGAAACTGACATAGAAAATAGACAGAAGTCATTTCTATGAAGAATGGTGAAGGCCACTGGAAGGAAGCCCACCTGAGCTAGGAGGAGTAAATTAGCCCTGTGCACCTCTGTTAGGGGAGCCAAGGTGGGGATGAGGGAGGGAGAGGCTCCCAGGATCTTTCACCTAGCCAGACTCCACCAGGCTCCTATCAAGGTCCACAGAGAAAGGAGCAACTGATGGAGACAAAATAGCCAGCTTAAGTAAAAATCCTATAGGACAATGCAATGAGAGAAGCAAGGGCTTGCTCCATTAAGGAGCCTGAGAGGAGCCATGTAACAGGAGACAGTGCCAGGCAGGAGACAGCAGAAGTGCCACCAGAACAGTCCCTGATGTCTTGCAGAACCCCTAGAAGACAGCCTGAAGGAAGCCTGACATCTCATGTGTGCAGGTTGGAACTAAAGCCACAAAAGTCCACGTTATTATAGCTACCTGACTCTATTTCCACTCCAGGTTGGTAAGGCCTCGCGAGAACACAGTGGTGTATCTTCCCCTTTCCCTCCTCTACCCGCAGACACCAACTCTTCTCCCTCACAGCCCCAATTTTGCCCCTCCTCCCATATACACAGCCCACCAATCAAGAATCGCAGACCGTGAACTAGAAGCATCCACGGGTCATCCCTATCCCTTGCATTTGGATGGTGGCAGGGCTACAAGGGACTACTTACCTCAGCGGCGGTGACTGGGGCATGGCTGATGCCCCTGTTGACAGAGACCCACGACCGGGCTGTCAGCATGCAGGCAAACAAGGGGTAGAGCTCTCCGGCCCCCAGGCACTGGCTGTACATCTTCACCTTCTCCATGTCGGTCCAGATCAGAGACTGCCACAGGTGGCAGTAATCGAGGCGGAACGCTTCCGTGAGCACCTACAGCCACAACAGCAATGGCGGAAACTGAGCCTCATCTTCCCACCAAAGGCCTGAGCTCTGGCCGGTGCTGACTACCGCAAAGGGGGACAAGAAGGACGGTGGCTCCCCATGATGTCTGCTCTTTCCTCAAAGTCTGGCCATCCTTAAAGGCCCAAAGTCAATGTTACTACAGCCTGAATATCCCTCATTTGAAATGCTTGGGACCGGAAGTATTATGGATTTTGTTCAGATTTTAGAATATTTACATACACATAACATACCAAGGACATTTTAAGCCTAAACATGAAATTCATAACACAAAGGAAATTTCACCCAATATTTTTAATAATTTTCTGTACCACAATCTATGAAGCCCTCTTCTTCCCTGGTACAGACTATTTCTCTGGCCTCCCCCGAAGTTAGATGTGGCCTCTGCCAGAGCTACGACCTATCCAGTGTGGCAGAAGCCCCACTTCCCCTAAACTTTCCCACTCATGTGCCTGCAGGCCCTCTTTCCCTGCTGTTGGCTGATAGCACCATCACTTCCAGGGAGACCTGGGAAGCTGAGTCTGCAGGCTCCCCACACCCAGGACTGGCACAGGAGCAAGCAATGAAACTGCAGTTGGTAACAGGGCCCTGGGGGAAGAGAGCAGAAGACCACTGGGGAAACCTCCCAGGACCCTCTTCTTCATAGAATCAAGCTATGGGTCCCAGTTGGCAGGGAACTTCCTGGCTTCCAGGTGGGAGCTAAAGCTTGCTCCATCCTGAGTTCTCAAGGATCGACTCATGAGCTACCCAATGCTTACCAGTTCTCTGCCTCCTTTTCCACCACATATCATATGTTCACCGGGACTCCCCTCCTTCTTGGAAGTCCCAGCCTATGCCCAGGACAGCTCATTTCCCAGTTCAGGGCTGGCCTGTGGTTCCCTGGGAAGGCACAACATATACACAAGCACCTTTCCATCTACTCATTGCAATGGTCTGTAAAGGAGACTAAATCAATCTTGCTTTTGCAGAAGGAAGCTGAAGCTCAAAGATCTCTTAGGACAGTGACGTGCATGAAATGATAGTTTCTAGGGGAGGACAGAGCCCCCTCCAGCCCCAGCCACCCTGGGCATCCATTTCAGTTCCATGATGGATGGAGGAGTCTAGTGCGCTCTGAGCCCACACAGGGCCAGTCCCTGGGGCCAGGTGGAAAAGGCTTCTCCTACCTGGTAGAGTCCATGGTCCAACAGAATAATCTCTACTTTGCCTGTGCCGGGATGCTTCCGCACCAACACATTGCCCGGGTGGGGATCACAGTGCACAAAGCCATTGACAAAGATCATCTCACTGTACATCTTGCCCAGGTGGCGGGAGATCTGAAAAAGAATGGAAGCAGGTGGGGTTTCTGCTCCATTTATACCTATATAGGGGACTTCTTTCATGGTCCTCCAACTGGGTCCCTTCTAGGAGGAGACCAAAGGGACCCGATGGACCTGGAAAGCGGTGATGAAAGAGATGCCTTGAGATGATTTAGTTCCCACCTTTAAGATAGAAGCTAAGCTCTAATTCTTCCTTCTCCACTTTAGGTACTCATTAGAATCACCTTGAAGTTAGAAATGGTACCAGGCACCAGTATTTTCTTTCTTTTTCTTTCACCAGTATTTCTTTAAAGTTCATAGGGTGATTTCAATGCATGGTAAGGTAGGACAGTGGCTGCTCCTCCTTTTTCCAATGGTTGGACCTCTCTACTTCCCACACCCATCTCTCCATTCTTCCCCCTTTCTCTCTCCCTCCTCTCTTACCTACTCCTCCCCATTCTTTCCCAAAGCTGAGAACAGGTTTGGGGAGCTACCCCACCCATTCCTTCCCCAACGAACAGGGCTAGGATTGAGGATCAGGATTAGGTGATCCCACCACCACCCCTGTCGGCTCCAGGACAGCCCCAGGCAGCTTCAGAGTCAAGGCGCTTCTCCCCTCTCTCACTGCCTCCCCACCAGAGCCCAATGCTAATCTGATTTATGATGTCTGCACCGAAGAAATGACACTGGAGAGGCCATTTAAATCATCCTGTCACTGCTGCTTTCCCTGCCGAGGCAGCCTTCTTATCTCTACTCCCTTTTTTATTAAAGCTAAAAGCCTTTTCCCCACTAGGGAACAGCAGCAGAACAGAGCCAGACCTGGGCCCAAAGATGATCTGCCAATGGGCTTCCAGGAGACAAAGACACACGCAAGCAGAAAGCTGGTACCCCAGGACACTGGCCGCTCTTCTTTCCTTTCTGCTTGGTTGGACCCCATGGTCATTAACACACATATTCCAGCCAAATAAGAAGAGCTGAGAGTCATGAGGTGGGAAGCCCAGGATTAGGATCCTTCCTTAGCCTACAAACTCCTAAACAGGCAGGCTCTCCTTTCCTTCCTGGGCTCACCTGGCACTGTGCTGACACTCCAGCCACATTCACTCTTTCTCTTCCCCAGTAATCCCTGTGCTCTCCTGCTTCAGGGCCTTTGCACAAGAGGTTCCCATAGCCAAAGCGTTCTTGCCACTTCCTCAGTCGCTAGATTCAGGCCCTCCCTGTCCTCCCATCCTAGATCAGATCACCTGCCTAGAAAAGCCTCTCTAACCTCCCAAGCTAGAAGAGGTTCGCTCACCATACACTGTCATAGGTCTGTGCTTTCTTTCACGGCATTAGCAATAATTTGTGTGATTAATTGGTTAATGACTATCTAGCCCACTATCATAAATTCCCAAGACAGCAGGAACTAGCTCTGTTTGTTAAACAGCTTTATTGAGGTACAATTTATATACCATAGACTGGCTCTATTATGCATGCACTTGCTTTTAACAGAGCCAAACACATGAAAATAAGACTCTGCATTCAACATGAGGGAGTTCTCTGTGGTTTCCTGGGATTCTGTGGTTCCTACATCTAATGTTTGTCCTAACCCCATTATTCTTCTCTGAAACCCAATCAGTTAGAATTGGCACCAAATTAAATGATCGAGAATAGCCCTACCTTAGAAACAAAAGCTGATGTCCTTATTACCAGCTGTAAAGGGAGGTACAATTGTGACCCCTATTTTGCAGATGAGAAACTGAGACTCCTCAAGATTAACTTAATTATTCATGGCTGGGAAAAGCATAGCTGGAACTGAAAGAAGGTGTGACCCCACAGCCTTCTACATGGCTCACACCTACTTCTTCACTTTTCAATTGAGCTTTGTGACCTTAAGCAAGTTGCTTACAATCTCATCATCAGTCAAATGGAAACAACAGCAATGCTATTCTCAAGGGTAGCTATAGAGGTAAATCAGAACATTGCAGGGCTTGCAACCTGGTGACCTCCCCTAGGTGCCCCTGTGGTAGTTGGTACTGATTCCTCATAACACTTCTGGAAAGTGGGTAGATCCGGTTCACTGTACCTTTTAAGAGACAAAGACATTTGAGACACTATGCCCTGCTGCCACATCAGCACTCCAGTGCCTTAGGTGAAGCCCACCCTCTAGGACTTAATGTTACTCACATTACACACACACAGGGCTTTGTCACAGACCAAGTTCTCAGACAGGCTAAGAAGCTGACCATCCCAGCCCTACCACATTGCTTCCTGGGAAAGGGGGTCTCAGCCAGAGCTGGTCCTAGGTGAGCTAGCACGTCCCCACCTCTGTGCCACCAAGAACCCTTCTGTTCCATTCCTTGGAGTTCCTTGGAATCATACTTTAAAAGGTTGTATCTGCCAAACCAATTGCATTTATTAAGTAATCATTCATTTTTATTTGTCAAGGACGCATATAAGGTCCAATCAGGACTCCTGATCAGCCCAAGATAAGCAGCGCCGCCAGACTGAGCTGACAGAATTCCAGCCAAAAAGCAGAGAAATGACATTTCATTTAGTCTGGGCAGACCTGTCACAGGGAGATGTATGATCTCCCTTAAGCTTTCTGAAATAATGCTAATCGCTCTGGGCCCCTTTTTACTACATTAAAAGATGGTCCTTAAGGGTAGGGGACTGGGGGTGAAGCAGCTCTTGTCCATGAGGGCTGAGCTGCTTCAGTGGAGGGAGAGAAGGGTGCTGCCACTGCTGCCCACATACATAAGCAGAACCACCAGAGCAGTCTCCCCTTCCAACACCCCCATCCAGCAGCCCCTACTTGGGTATCTTTCCATTTGGGGTCTGCTCTCAATGTTTGTGTTAAACAGATGCCACCAGGATGGACAGATGTGGACGGCAAAGAAAAAAGCAGGAACTAGCCTAAGCCAACAGCTTGACGCTGGAGCCATCTTTCTTGGGCCACTTTGGACTTGAGTGGCATGGGGCTTAGGCACCTCTCTCTAAACTTAGAAAAACATGAATAGCATTATCATTGTCAAAGTGCTACTGTCATCAAGCTTATACAGATATAGAGTGGCCAGGTGTCGCAGATTCCTTAACTCACTACCAAGGGAGCAAGTAAGATGGTAGAACTGGTTCAAAGGGAATTTTAAGGAAGCAAGTATTTAGGGCTGTTTCAACAGAATAAGAGACTAAGATTCTGGATAAAACACAAGCTGGTTGTTGTCCTAGGAAGCATTTAAAATAGCCTAGCTCTGGGGTTATCTTTTCTACTGGACAGAAATCATTAGCATCTCTACTGGACAAGATCCACAAGTTGATGTATGACTTCAGTCTGGAGCCTTAATTAATTGTCAATAACAAAGTCAAACAAAAGTACATTTGCCTAGATATTAAAAAGTCAGGGACAGGAGGCACTGGCTGAACCATGACCAAGAAGGATTTTGAAAGGGCACACCGTACTCTTCTGGCCTTATTGCTAAGCTGTGGAATGATTTTTCATAACATATTTTCGAGTTGTGCTAGAGTCTCACTGCATATCAATCTGTCCCCAGAAGGGCAGGCAGCTCCCCTACCTGCACCCAGGCATTAAGGGTCCCAGGAGAAAATTCAAGGCCCCTGCTGGACACACAATCCTCTCACTCACCCCTTCCACATAATGTTGGCTACACGTTCCACTAAAGAACAGACAACTGTGTCCTTAATGCTGCCTCTGGCCCACTAACAATGACATCTGTACAAAGATAAGAAAAAATATCTTTGCTGAGTGGTCATGGCCAAGGTGCTATGCCAGGTACTCAACATGGATGGGTTGAATACTCATAGACATCATCTACAGGAAACAGGTAAGGAAGACATGGAAGGGGAAAGAGACTTCGTCCCCTGCTCATCAATTATGACCCCAGGAGCCAACCCAGGTGACCCCTCTGCAGAGAACAGTCACCCTGCCTCTCCACTCCCAGGAAGTTCCTTCAGGAGGCAGGCAGGGACTGCCCCCAAAATTTCTGAAGTCTCCCCCTCAATCCAGCAAGGTGCTCCATTTCGAGAAAAGACTCACTGCAGGAAATCCTGGACAGGTGGCTGGGCTGAGGGTGTCTCTCAGTGGCAAAGCACTTGCCTGGTATGCTCAAGGCCCCAGAGTCTATGCCCAGCATCATTAAAAAAAAAAAAAAAAAAAAATTTAAACACAAAAACAAGACCTGAACAGGTGGCTAACCAAACCACAGTGTTAAGTAACATCAGGGTGCCATGCCATTTAGAAAAAAAAGTTACTAAGTCTTTTAATTGTTCCTTGTAAAAAGAATGTGCCACTCACAAGTGATTTCAGTAATTACACAATGCTTTTATTCTCTAACAGTAGGAAAGGGGGAAAAAACCAAGACTCTATAAAAAGGCTTGGTAAAGAATTAATTTAGTAAATAATACTTAAGTCAAGGAGTTATTTTTGGATTTTTCTCAAGACTTGAATTGGCTGCAAGTACTTTAATTATTCTATAATTGCATGAATTAATTTATTCCCACCCCCAAGGGAAAGTCTATTTATGTTCCTGGGGGGCGTCTTGGAAGCAAGGCCAAGATCTCTGAAAGAAAAAGGAGGTTGACTAGAATATTAATAATCACACAAGTCAACCCATATTAAGTAGAAGGAGGTTTGTCATTCACACTTTTTTCGTCCCCTCCCAGTTTCTGCCCAGGACTCTGGACACAGACCAGACCACTGCATGGAGCACAGTACAATAAACTCTGCCTACCTCATCCCCAGGTACCACCACTAGGGCAGTGGCGGTGTACTGTTTAGAGCATTCAATGATAACAAAACCACACGCGTGCTATAGGCTCACCACCACACTGCTCTAGGGTATATAAACCACAGACCACCTGCTGCTACTCAGCACCAAGAACAAACTTACTGTTTTTTCCCCGGGTACTGAGGATCAAACTCAGGACCTTGCACTGAGTTAAATCCCTAGTCCCGGGACCAAACTTATTAATGGCTGGGTAGCGATCTTGAACAAGCGAATCCTGAGACAATGTCCTTGACCTCA